CTCTCTCTCTCTCTCTCTCTCTCTCTCTCTCTCTCTCTCTCTCTCTCTCTCTCTCTCTCTCTCTCTCACGCTCTCGCTCTCTCTCTCTCTCTCTCTCTCTCTCTCTCTCTCTCTCTATCTCTGTCTCTGTCTTTCTCTTCTTCTCTTTCTCAGTCTAGAGAGTGAGTACACCCGCTCTCTTATACACGTACTTACTATCCCTCTTCTCTTCTGCCACTCTCTCTCTCTCTGATCCCCAACAAGACAAAGAGAGCTACCACATCACACGCTACGACATCTCTCCACACCAAAACTGACACGCGACACACAGCTACGATAAATTCACATAGGTCATAGAAGAATAACTGTTGCACAAACAGAACCACGTCTGTCGTGTGCCAGAACCCAAACGTGACCACTGCTCTTCTCCCTACTGCACGTAGTGGGCATCTGCAAAAATTTCGACCACTCATCATCATCATCATCATTATCATCATCATTATCATCCACATCATCATCATCATCATTATCATCCTCATTATTATCCACATCATCATCATCATTATCTATTGCAGCATCCCCACCATGGCATGCGCTTCACATTCACTCCGTTTCCTCACCAGAACTCTGGGGAACAATCAGGTCAAAATAAAAACGATACTACACAGACAGGCAACACATCTTAGTCACATGTGCAATGGGACACGTTTACGCTGTCACCAGCCTTTGTAAAAAAATTATTTCGAAAAAATAAAAAAATAAAAACAATAAATCACGTGGCGGAATCGGACGCTCACTTGTTTTTGAGGCGGTTCTTGCGGCGGTGCACGACGCCGTCCGGTTCGTCCATCATGTGCAGGATCATGTAGAGGTCGTTCGTCGACAGTGGCGCCACCGAGATGTCGCGAACGGCGCGGAACTGACCGCAGTTGTTCAGATGCTCGTTCTCCAGCCGAAAGAAGTTCCATATAAACCGCCTGCGAAGGGAGGGGGAGGAAGGTGGCAGGTTGTTCAGAGAACGTGCTAAGGGAACTTATCCTGCTTTACCGTAGCAGACGCAATATTTGTACATCATTTAAAATCTTGGACGAAAGAATTAAAAAATTAAGTTCAATGAGAAATGCTTATTAGGATAATCACTGAATAATTCAGTGAATGTTCAAATGAAATTCTTCTGCTTTACTATAGCAGTCTATCCTCGTACATCATTTAAAAATGTAAACGAAAGAACGAAATAACTTCCAAATTAAATTCTTGTTATGATAATAGTTGAATAGTTCAGTAAACGTCCTAATTGAATCACTTCTGCTTTACTATATACAGATATATAGCAGTCTCTACTCATTATCTAAAATCTCTATTATACGTTATTAAACGCATGCAAAAAAAGATATAAATGACTGCCTGTGAGTATAGCGGTGGTGAATGACCATACTCACCATGGATACTGTTGCTAGGTTGCACAAGTTCACCCAATCTGTACGCGTACGTCCACCTTACCTGCTGACTTCTAACAGCGCTAGCAGCGTCATGAGAACATCCTCATCCACGAGCTGCCAGTTGACTAGATTCGTTGTCCATGACAGTCGCAAGATCAGATCCTCTATCACAGCAAAGTAGTAATACGACTGCAAGCACACAAACAGTCACAAGATCAGACACTCTGAGAGTAACGGAGGGAGGGAAAGGAAGAAAGAGAGATATTGAGAGAGATATAGTGACGAAAGAGAGAGAGATAGTGACGAAAGAGGGAGATATAGTGACGAAAGAGAGAGATATAGTGACGAAAGAGAGAGATATAG